AGATCCGTAAGTCATCACTGGCAACACGCACTGGTTGTACAATTTCGTTTTAAGGTTTTGAGGTATGTCTGACGAGAAGATGTGTCGTAGTTTCCCGAACGCTGCCCAGCCGAATTGAATCCGCCGATTGACCTCTCGGTCGAAGTTGGACTTACCTAGTCGGACTATTTGTTCCAGGTAAACATACTCGTCAACAACTTCGAGCTTCCAAAAACTACCGGCATAGGTGTGACATGGACATTAAACATGATCTTTGTTTTGTCCATGTTCATCCTAAGACCTATTCGTTGGGAGACACTATAGAGGTTATTGAGCATGGTGCTTAGGTCCTCCAGCGATTGTGCCATAAGGACTATATCGTCGGCAAATCGAAGGTGAGTGGTGTATTCGCCATTGATGTTAATACCGTATCCTTTCCAGTCCAGAAGCTTGAAAACGTCTTCCAATGCAGCGATGAAGAGTTTCGGGGATATAACATCACCCTGTCTTACACCTCTCTACAATTGGATAGGTTTCGTACTCTGGTTCTGTACTTGGATAGCCATCGTAGCTCTACTGTACAAGCACTTCAGCACTTTGAAATACCGACAGTCGACTTGGCATCGCTGAAGGGACTACAGCACCGTCCAAATTTCGACGGAATCAAAGGCTTTCTCATAGTCCACATACGCCAGACATAGTGGCAAATTGTACTCCTCGGACTGCTGTACAATTTGCCGAAGGGTATGTATGTGGTCTATGGTGCTGAAGCCCTTTCGGAAATCGGCTTGTTCGGGAGGCTGGAAGTCGTCAAGTCTGCGCGCTAACGATTCGTAATGACTCTCGAAAACAGCACGTAGACGCGGCTCAGAAGGGAAATCGGTCTGTAGTTCTTCAAGAGAGCGTTGTCAACTTTCTTGAAGAACAAGACCACCGCACTCTGCTCCACGACTTTAAAATATAAGTAAATTATTCAATATTTTTTACCATAATAAAACAAAAAACTTAAATTATCATACAGTCCTATTACTAGTCCTACTTTCCTACATTTAAATTTTCCTTCAAAAGCCTTCAAAGCCCCTGGTTTTTGAAGCCTTATTGGAATTGCCACTCTTATAACAAATAATTCCTTTTAGAATTTTAATATTGTAAGCCATGTGTCCATCCGGTGGGTGTATTAAGAGACGACTAAGAGAAATACCAGAAATATCTCATAGTTTCTAATGCATGGTGGTGTTCCCACTCCGTTTGATGTAGTGTTTGATGTAGAGAAATAAATTACATTGTGGTGGTAAAGAGGTGTAATAACTGTTTAGTGCTGTTTAGAAAGTACTTACTTAAACATTCGACGTCCTGACTTTGAGAAAATATAAAACATAAATAAGTGATTTTATAATTTTATCCAGAACTTTTACATTAAGTGATAGAGCTATTTTTCTGCTGAGGAGTCCGTATAGGTAAGTTCCACCATTAATGAAAGTACCTAGGCTGTTACTAGAGTTTCTTCGCGTGTACAACTGCTTATTATAGCTTGTGGGTCAGAAATAGTTTGAAAAATGTGTGAAAGCACTATTCTCCAATTGTTGTCAGCGTGTCGCTACTGTCTTTTGTGTCAGCAATGAAAATGCGAGATCCATTTCTTGGTATCGAGGCCTTACTGTAGAGGTTGTCTACGTTTTTAGTATATAAAATGATAATTTAAGATGATAATAAATGATAAATGAAAAGATAACGACCGATTCCATGCAGTGTTAAGTGTGTAACGTGCATAACGCTTATGTATTTTCCCTTAGTAACAATAAAAGTACCTAAGTCCTCAGAGATGACAACATGTCTGACACTGAATGTTTCTGAAAGAGGAATTAAAGGTGTGTTTGAGTTATAAAAACATTTGATTTTGGACAATAATGACTGGTTTGTGTCTAAACAGGAATTTTGCCAGAGAGAACGAGCCAAAAAAATATTTAAGCAAATTACTGCTGGTAAACTTTCATTATTAAGTATACATCCAATTTGTTTTAGTTATACATTTTATTAATATAAATATAAAAAATTCCAATAAGATAAAAACGAACTGCAGTGTTATTTTTAACAATTAAAATTGCAGAAAAATAAATTTTGAAAGTGGAAACATAAACTCCTAAAGGATAAAATATAGGGGTGGAATATAGAACCAAATTCCTTTTTGAACCTTTCTTTCCAGGGTTAGTTGGTCAGTAGTTTTGCTACATGGCACTAGATAGCGTAGTAATCGGCACAGCTTTCAAATTACTAATCTAAAATGAACAATTAACTGCATTTAGTGGAGCAAAGAGTATCAATAATTGTTTAAAGTATCCCAAAATAGAAATTTTATTTTAAATTTTCAATGTTGTTAAAATAAGTAGATATCTAAATATCACATCATTTAAATTAATAATTTATCTATTTTTATCAAGTTTTTTGAAAAAAAGATCAAGTAAGCATATTAATTTTAATTAACAATAAAATTATAATTTGTTTAACATGACAGTTGGTAAAAAAATCAAATTTACATAACGTATAGTACATCTATTCGATAATAGATGGCGCTAGTAGTTATAACGTTCACCTTTTACGCGTCGCATCGGTTGCTTTTATCATTTGAGTGACAAAGATCATGCGTAGTCAATACCAATATCTTTGGTTCTAGTAAATAACCTAAAAAAATACTAAAACAAGTCCTGGCTTGGGGTAAAAATATTAAATTGATGTCTCATCGCTAATTTTTAGTGAGTAATGTGATCCTTCCCATTTACCATTATCGCTACGTTTCATAGGTATCTCCATATATATTTTTTAAATTTTATAATCTTACACAGCATTTTCATATGAATATCTAAAAGTTCATTGCATTCCATCTTGAGTGAAAAGCGTATTGTGGGATTAGTGAACATGAGATTACCAATAGATATTGATATTGATGCCTCGGGATCGTGGTGGTGTCAAGAAATACATCCATTGACATCCAGCATGAAAATATACCGTATCATTTTGTATTTTATTTTTTACCTTCTTTTTAGTCTGTAGGTACCCTTTACCTTTTAGTAGTCAGTACATACCTAGTATTTTACAAGTGATAAAAAATGTTGCATGAGGTAAAATTAAACAAAAATTAAATAATTTTAGAGCGAAAGTTATCGGCTATGTTTTTAAGTACTTTCTATAAATTAACGGTAAATTTAAATTAAATATCTACTTTTTATCTACATATATATTCATCCGATTTTTAATAACAACATAGTCGTTATTTCAGAAATATAATTTTATAAAGAATATGATATATGTTAAAATAAAAAATAGGACTGTCAAGTTTCCACAGTTTATCACAGGATTTATAAAAGAGCAATCAGACTGTTGACTGTTGGTCTCTTGAGTCCTTGTGGCATACGAGGAATTATGTTTTCGTTTTCAAAAAATGTTTTGTGAATTATCCATGTTAGCCTACCAACTCATAGTAATTTAAGTATTTACTTTATTCGCTTTGATTTGGTCTAGTATAAGTTTAATATATTTAAAAAAAATATTTTAAGATTTGTACATTTTTCTTTATATTATGGAAATGTGATTAAAAGTTGAAAACTTAAAATGGAATCAAATATATAAATACACATTTTATAAAATTAATTATTTTGCAATATTACGAAAAATAAAACATAAAATTAACTATTAATTTCTTTATAATTCATTTAAATGTAGGTAGGTATGTAAATTTTAAAATATCTTTATAGAGTAGTCAGGCAGACGAACTGTGTAGTGGCGGTGTAGGTAAGAATATCAACTACCCCATATCATCCCGTGGGTGTCGTAAGAGGCGACAGAAGGAAACAAGCCAGTAGATGGACAGCAACGTCTTTAGTAATTACTAAAAAATCGTTTGCAAGTACGCTTGCCACGCGTGGCCACTATGGCAAATCTGGCAATCTATGGGCTGGCCTATGCTCAGCAGTAAACTTTTGATAGGATGACATAGACAGGACTAGAACTGATATATAATAAAATTATTTTAGTTATTTAACTAGAAAGATGACATTATTGTGACGTTTTCTATATGTTAGGTATTCATTAACATCTACCTATATCTAAGAACAAAATGTAGATATCATTAGAAAAGGCGATGTGCTTTTAAAAAACTTAATTTCGCTTTTAGCTTAATTTATGCCATCAAATTAAATTTTAAAATATGTCTCAATCAATTTATAGGTACCTACATATTTGAGAGTCAATTGATAGCATAATTGAAATGTAACAAGTCATCAGTACAAAAAGACAATACGTGACGAGATCCAGTAGTACGCTTAATGAATTCATTTAAATATACTTATCATAATTATATTATAACGATATTAAACGACAACAAACGAAAGAGCCGCGGCGCGCGTTCGGGGCCACCTCATCTTGTGCAAATTAGAGTAAGTCATACGGCACGAGGCGCCTGCGGTAGCTCACACATGCGAGGCAACTCGAAGGGAGAAAATAATAGACTTACAAAAACAAAAAAATATATGGTCAACTAAAATCTTTGAAATATTCCATTTTGTTTTTATTTCAATTCAATGAATACATTAAATGAAATGTGTTATGAGACAAAACGATATGTTTGTAAATAATCAGGTGTTAATAATAGGTGTGCGAGGGCGCGGAGCAGTGCGAGCGCGAGGGGCGGCGCGAGGGGCGGGCGGGCGCGCGGTGGGGGGCAGGGGCGCGGGGCGCGAGGCGAGGGGTGCGGGGCGGGCGCGCCGGTGGGCGGGGCCGCCCCTCTCCGGCGCCGGCGCGCGCTGCCGCGCCGCTCCGTCCGCTCAGTCCGCTCCGTGCTGCCGTCGCGCACGCACGCGCATGTCGCTCGCTGTCGAATCCGGTGATGTGAGGTGGCCCCCACCGCTACCGCTACCGCAGCGCCGCGCGACACACGCGCTAGTTTCGCGACCGAGTGCGCCAGGTGAAGGCTCGAGAGCCTTCGAGCCGGCAAGACGCCGTCCACCGTGGATCTGAGGTACGGCGCCATGGCGGCGACCACGTACATGCCGGGCGAGCTGGACCTCGGCAACCTGGGCGGGTACCATGCTGCGTCGCCGCGCAGCGCCGAGCCCGCCGACATGAAGTACCAGCACCACTTGCAGGCGGGCGGCTCGCCGTCGCCGGGCGCGCCCGTGCTGAACCCCTGGGCGTCGCTGCCGCCGGCCGACCCCTGGGCCGTGCACCAGCACCACGCACACGCGCACCAGCCCGACGTGAAGCCGCCGCCCGCGCCGCACGACCACCGCCACCTGCAGCACAGCCACGGCTGGCACGCGCCCGTCGTCTCCGCGCACTACGGCGCAGCCTCGCCCGTCGCGCTGCACGGCGGATATGCCGTGCCCATGCACCAGCACCATATGCTCCGAGACGTGCAACCTTCCCCGCATCCCCTGCACCATCACCACGGCCTCGAGCGGGATCAGCCTGAAGAAGATACACCTACCAGTGACGACTTAGAAGCCTTCGCAAAACAGTTCAAACAGCGACGCATCAAGCTAGGCTTTACGCAGGCCGACGTCGGCCTCGCTCTTGGAACCTTATACGGCAATGTTTTCTCCCAAACAACGATCTGTCGATTCGAGGCGTTACAGCTTAGTTTCAAAAATATGTGCAAATTGAAGCCCCTACTTCAAAAGTGGTTAGAGGAGGCCGATTCGACGACCGGCAGCCCGACGAGTATCGATAAAATAGCCGCACAGGGCCGAAAACGAAAGAAGCGCACCTCGATCGAAGTGTCAGTGAAGGGAGCGCTCGAACAACATTTTCACAAGCAGCCGAAACCGTCCGCGCAGGAGATAACGACGCTCGCGGACAGTTTGCAGCTGGAGAAGGAAGTTGTGCGCGTGTGGTTTTGCAATCGACGGCAAAAAGAGAAAAGAATGACGCCACCGAATACGCTCGGCGGTGAGATGCTGGACAGTATGGGCCACGGGCACTATTCGCACGAAGTGCACGGGTCGCCACCGATGCACGCGCACTCGCCGGCGCTGTCGCCGCCGCACGCGGCGCACGGCGGCCACGGCGGGCACGGCGGCCACGGCTCGCACGGCTCGCACGGCAGCCACGGCCAGCACGCGCACTCGCAGCACACGCTGGCGCCGAGCGCGCACACGCTGGCGGCGCACTAACAGTTCGCCCCGTGGGCGCCGCCGCGGCCGTACTACGCGGAGCCGCACTAGCCGCGCCGCCGCCAGCCCGCGGGACTCAGCTCTAAACGCCGAGCGCCGCCTCGCGCCACGTCGCGCCGCATCGCGCCTCATCGCATCGCATCGCACCGCTCCGCGTCAGCGCCGGTAAGTACGCGCCGCGGCGTTCCGTGACCCACGAGGCGCCTCGTTAGCGTGACGGACAATTTCTCGAATTTATTTATAGATATAATAAATTAACAATGTTCATACATACCTAACGGACAGTAGGGAGATGTCGTGGTGTGGATTTTAAAATTATCGTTGCAACTACTGTAAATCTATGATAAGCGTTGAAGACGCAAGTGTGAGACGCGAATCGGGTTGAAGTTCGTTCAGTGCGGGAATACGAGTGAGTCGATAGGTGCAATTATCGTTTTAAGTGTTTGTTCGGGAGTGTACGGCGCGACACGGCGCGGCGCGGCGCGGCCCAGGTGCGACGCGGCGCCGCCCCGTGCCGCGCGCAGTCCGAGCCGCCACATGTAATTTATTAAAATTATAATTAAAATAACTGACTAGATGCCAAAATGGTGTTATCCCTGTTTTTGATTGTTTTGTTATTTTTTTTTTCATTTGTTTGTATTTGTGGCCAATCTCGGTACTTATTATTTGTAAAAATAGGTATTTTTTCTATATATAATGTACCTACGACGTATATGATATATATTAAAAGAAATCTTTATAGAAATTGGTATATAAAAGAGTCTTTTATTGATATAATCCTGGACAGGTCGCCTCTAAGTTTAGCGACTCCTCTAAATTTTACTCTCTCGGTCATTGCGATACATTTTATAAGTAAATTTTCCGAACGAGATAGAAAATTGAGCGGAGCCGCGGCGCGGAGGCAAGCGGCGGCGGCAAGTCCGCGTAAGATCGCCCGATTCGAACCAAAATGCTGTTGTAAATGTAATTAATTCGTTATTTTCAACGAAGTTGACAAGTTGAATTATGTATATAACTGTATAAACTAAACTAGGTAATAACGAAAGAAGGCAGTGGTAGTGCAAGCCTCTAGTAGGTAAATAATGAATAATTAGTCTTAAAATGTTTTATATTATTATCTAAGTATTTAAATAAACCAGAGTAAATATTTTATTACGGAGTATTTATTGGTGAATCCCGGTCACAAGGACTCTGAAACGATGTTGATAATAGGGATGAAGGCGACTCAGTGTGTATATTATTTATTTTGTTTTCGGCGGCCAGCAGGTAGGGGCCCGCTCACAAAACGATTCCACGTCGGGACAGAGTTGCGAGAAAAAAACGTTCGTATGATCAGGAGGCTGACACATTCGTTGTTTCGCGTGTTATCCGTCGCCTTCTTTTATTCTGTCGACGACTCGTTCGCGCCGCGCTATAAAAAACAAACCTGACCTTATTCTAATGTTTCCTGTAGCTTGCTTCTTATTATAATCATTTTCCGCTTCACCTAAGTTTATTTTCCTGTTAATTCGATCAATATGTCCGTAAGACGTCGCGTCGTTAAATACAGCCAAAAGTTTTTAGTTCAAGTGTGCTCAATTTAAGATCTTCAGAAGATTGAAAAGAGAAAAAATCTTAAGAATAGATATTTTTATTCGTAATTTCTGAAGTTCTACTTCTATGTTTCTGTTTACATTGTTAAGACTTGCTTTAACTTTTAGTGTCAGTCATCTCAACTTTATTTCTTACCATTTCTTATAATTTATTTTCTCGTACTTTAGTTTACCTATTTAGTAAACGTTATAATTCATAAATAATGTGCTTTTCCGTTTTCAAATTTTCATTAACACATTAAAAGACGTTAAGAACTGAGATATTCATTGCACGCGAAGTGTTTCAACAACATAATGCCCTATACAAATTTACCAACTGCAATTGTCAAATATGATATTTTAATTGCATTATTACCTACGTATGTCATAACTCTTTCTGTAATTTCTAAAACGTGTTTTTAACTCGTTTTTCATGTCAAGTATACAATGAATTGATCCAATAATTCCATTAGAAGTTTTCACCTGCCAATACTGTGATAGCAAAAACTCGGAGGAGCTGAACCGTTGTGCACAGTCGCACGTTACGAATGTTTTACTGTGCCAGCAAAAAGTTTACGTGCGTCGACTGCTAGCAGACCACTGGCCATGGACAAAATGACATTCCATTGCTCTAATGGAGCGTTATATTTAGTAATGCCCACTGTGAAACCTCGCACGTTGTGAGTCTTTCAAAAATACCATTTTTAATAAGTTTCTAATAACTTATATTTGTTTTTATTTCATTTACTGCACGTAAGTGTGCACTTTTCCATTTTTCTTTAGCAACTAACAAAGCTATGAAGATAATACCGATAATAAAGGCCGGCAACGCATCTGCAATTCCCCTGGTTTTGCGGTTGTTCATGGGCGGCGGTAGTCACTTACCATCAGGTGAGCCGCATGCTCGTTTGCCCCCTCTCCTATAAAAAAAAATACTTTCAACATACCAATTCTATAATCAGGCACTTCTGAAATTTCTAAAAAAAAATCAAAACTTTGCCCCGACGACATCAGATACACAATCCAATTATCTCTTATTCATGCACATTTAAAACGCACGCGTGATAAAATGAACGTCAAAAACGCAGGTTCCATGTGAAAACACAATGTTTAGGTTTATAGCGCAAAATTTTTCTAGTGAATTTATTTGCATAACAGCAGCGACATGCAAATCACCGAACAACACCAACGTATCGCCTCGCTCAGTTTTTGCGTTATTATCCGATTGGGAGCTATCTATTATACACCAATATGGTGTTACGCTACTACGTACATTATGAACTCCCACTTGTTCATACGTCAACAGGATTATTACACTAGACTTTTAGTTAATGCATCCCTTTATTTAAAGGTACCGCACTTTTTAGCTCATTTTCTAGCCCATCAGTTTTTACGTCGTCCAATTTTACAACGTTCAATGTGTTTTTATTTTATGTCAATATTATTTGAATATGTCAATAACTTAAAAAGCAATGAACTTACCGATAATGCGATTTAAATATTTCATAAATTCATTATAAAAATGCTTCTTTTAAACACGTTTTTTTAATTTAATTTGTATTCAACTTAGTTGAATTTGCTTATTTTATTTATAGTAAATTTCGTATGAATTTTTTTTGCTACATTTGTTACATATGTTGAAGATTAATCTTAAAATAAAGTTACTTATACATTTTTTCATCGAAGATATATCTTTAATGAAGCGTCCGAGGACAGAATTTCATAGCTTGGGCTCAGAAAATCATAATGTACTCGTATCGATAGGTCGACTACTCGGATGTAAACTGTGTTCAAGGTTTGAAACATACTTACTTATATGTGTACATGCTGTGAGTAGCGCAGTAGATAATGTACGTACATGTCGTCGAGCTGTGTCACAAGGCCTTCGTGTGAAAACCTACGCGCAGGCACCACCGCTATCATCTACCTGAGTTATGAGACAAGTTCGCTTTAGTGTTTACTATTTAACGTACCTTATTGTTATTGCCTGATTACATTTATTAATTCCTTCTAAATGGCAGATCTCTGTTAAGAATATGCGTATAAAAAGAATATTGTCGTTTATTACATTAAAATCTCGGCACGTAGTATAAATAGGACGTTGGCGTCATTTTGAAATAACAGTTTGTAAATCAATTCAAAATGTATTTAGTACTTGTACTTATAGGTGGGTGAAGCCGGAACAAGTCTTTAGTTAACAAATGTACAGCTAATAATCTACGTTTGCTTAGTTCTTGTTCAACCTATTTTATGAAAGTCGGTTAACATTATTTGCTCAATACACTGTTGGACTCCGAACCTGTTTGTCTAAGTAATTATTAAATATGGTAAAGTTTTTTAAGTCTTATGTTCGCCGTATGCCAAATATTTAATTTAAACATATTTTAATTTAAATTGGTATGCATTATTATTTGATATCCGTTCTTTTCGAGTAGCCGATTTTGACGTGCGAATTTGCTTCTTCCTAGTAATTTGTTTTGTGTTTGTTTTTCATTTATGTTCTTCATTTATATCTTAAAATTTTAGAAATAGGTACATTTATTTTGGTTTTAATTTATATATTATGTATCATTGTTTTAATTGAAAGAGTACCTTTCGAGAGTTACTTGGAAGCACTTTAACAAAATTCATTAACACAGTAGCGCCGGAGTCGATAACAGAACAGGTACTTGGTATCAGCAAGTCGTCGCCGCCGCTATATTGAGCTAAGTTCGCACGCCGTAGGTAGGTGAGCCGTCAGTTTTTCTGCGTTTCGCCGTAAAATATGTTTTAAAAAAGCGGGCACGGCAGGTGCGGCCGCGGCGAGGCCACCTTTATCAGCCGAGTATTAAATTTATAGGCTCCACGGTTTTGGTAGCGCCGCGAGCGGTCCCCGGTGCTGCGCGCTATCTCGTCCCTCGCCACGTCTCGGTGTTACTCTATTTTTTACTTGTTTGTTATTTTCCGCCGCGGCACACGGATGTGGGCGAAGCGTAGACATCTATTTGCGTTCAATTTCATTCCGTAATTGATTAAAACTTACAAAAGTATAAGGGTGTAAAATCTGGTGCTCGAGCACAATCGTCGGCCGTCGCCGGCTTATCTCGCCGCCCGATCTCGCGTCCGCAGTTGACACAATAATAAGATGAAATAAATAATAACACACGATTAAGATCAGCCTAAGGCCGGGAGTTTGTAAACTAGATCTCTGTGTTCGCTAAGAGATTCGTTTATAACTGAATCCATTCAAAGTAAATTGGTTTTTATGTATTGTAATTATGTACTATAGAACTTATAAATACCTGCCTGTGTACTTATAATTGCATCAGAGGACAAGACGAATTTCATGGTAAATTGAGTAAATATTGATCAACCTTATTGTTTTCATAAAAACAATAAATTGTTTTTTGTAAAATTGTTTTGTTTAATTTGGATCCCAGCAATGGGGTT